AGACTTACTACATGTAATTAAGAAGCGTAATTATGCTTATTAATGCACTCCAAAACTCGAAAATCTTTAGCTTCTTGTCCGCACTTTTAGTTTAGAAAAGTATTTGGCGAGCATACGTAGCTTTCGATAAATTCTTCTCGAGCTATGACATGTATATGGGAAGAGGGTCAAATTTAAAATGCTGCTAATCAGTATGGTGCTAATAAGCAACATACGGTTGCTTGTTGACTTATCGTACTACAATATAGGTCCAAATGCATGAGAGGCTATTGTGAGTTTTTAAAAAATCGGGGAAAAGCCTATATTTCCTGGTCATATTTTAATATTTAAATTTTGATATAGAGTCGATGTTGGTTTGTAGTCTATTTGCAAGTAGTTTTGTGCGGATCTTGTTTCCTATTTTGTTTATTCAAATTATTATTTCTTATTATTAACACCACTCCCGTAAGACACAGTGAAGAGTCTAGCGATATCTAAGAACTCAATGTTAGCAAAAAAAGGGTAACCAATTTTATAAAATGGAAACCAGGAGCGTTTTTCACTAAGGTATGGCAGGTGTTCGTTCTGTTACGTTTTAGAACAGAACAAAGCAATACCATAGCGACCAGTAATTAGGTAGAACGGAAAAACACAAGAGAAACTGGGATAACCAGCTGTTTTCAGAGAGCCGTAAATTGCCTCTGGTTTGGATAACACGGGGTTCGGACTCGGACACTGATAATTCAACACTCTGTTAGAAGCTTGAGCAAAAACTGACGTTCCATCCTTATGTTTACGTAAAACCCGTCGGCACGGAGGAAAGAAGACCCAGCCCCACTGCAGAAAGTAGAATAGCATACAATTAATCACATAAATTTGATGACTAAGAACAGCCTGCAACTGTTCTATCAACAGAACTCACTCACTTTTGAATAAAAAGTTTTCCAGTCCAAAAAGAGATTACGCAACTGAGTCAACTCCTTGGCTCTGGCCTTTGACTTCGAGACAGTGCCGCCCTTTGGATCAGAGTGCCTCGACTTGCAGATCCCAGCCATGCGACCGAGAGCTGCAAAGGTCAA